AAAACTGTTTTAATGGAACCCCACCCATTCTCGATTTTAATTTTTCAAGATTTTCAATGAGCTGGTAAATCAATACCAATGCTTGTTAAAGTTTGTAACTTTGCACATATGTATATATTTGAATATTTAAAAGAGAAGAAAAATAATTTACAAAAAAAATTTTGTTATTGTTTTGTTGTTGTTTTTTGTAATTAAAGAAAAGTCCTTATTTTTGATTGCGGGCATGATAACTCCTCACTGGAACATCGGAATCCGAAAATTCCAACGGTATTAGAAAGAGTACATGTCTGACTCTAGTATGAACTAGGATTATTGACTTCGCTCTAAAATTAACAAAATGTCGGACCTTTAAAACAATATTTTTGGAAAATCGCCGATTTTTGACCAAAAACCAAGTTAAAAAATGAGGTAGATCTTCACCGATTGGCTTTATCCTAGTTCACACGATAGCTATACACTCACAGAGAAACGTGTAAAAATTTGGAATGGATTGGGTTATTAGTGCCCGCCATTCGCAAAAGAGAAAAAGGCGTTTAAAGTTTGAGAAGCCCGTCACTTGATGCTGACACAATAAATCGGCTCTATCTTCAAGAGTTCTTGAGATTTTCACTTGAAATTTTGTAGGGACATTCTTGAATTAGTGTAGATTCGAATTAAATAAAAACTGTTTTAAATCATTTACAATTGATTTGGTTTGGAAGTTTAAATGCATCCGCCATACAGTCCGGACTTGGCACCAAACGCTTATATCTTTTTCTTGAATTGCAATATTTCTTTAATGATACAAGATCGGTATCTAGGGAGGATTGTGAAAGACGACTACTGGAGTTTTTGCAAATAGAAAGCAGGACTTCTATAAGAGAGGCATTATGAAGTTAAGGTGCATATTTGAAGTCCTATATTTCATATAAAAATAATATTTATTTTTCACTAACCTAAAATATGATTCATGACAATTATTTCCATGAATTTTAAAGGAATGATACAAGTTTTTTTTTTTTAATTCCGCCATGGCGTAAATATGAATTTTTTCCGAAGTTGACTCTGCAGTCGCCTAAAATATAAATTTTAAAATTGAAATTTTAGTTGATATAACGGAACCGATTATTTTCCTGAAAATATTTCACTTACATCATTGCCTTGTATTTATTAAATTTAATATACATCCTGGCTTTATAAAACATAATACATTCCACACGGCATTGTTGATTTAATATCTCCGTATAATACCATAAAATCTATGACAATCTGCACCAACTCATTGCGAACATTAAAAATGCTGTTATAGATGGCAAAAATTCAATTTACATTTGATGACATTCCAAAAGGCAATTCATTTCCTACGAAATCACCAACCATCAGCCATTGAAAAAAGCGCCAAAAACAACAACAGCAGCGACAGCAGAAAGCGTTTGCAATCAACGAAATCATCATCTATTTTAGCGTTGATTTTAATTTTAAAGAGATTTACGTTGAGATTTACCAGAATGTCACACAAAGCAAATGACAGTGAGACCGACTGACTCGATGGATGGCAGGCAGAATGACTTACTGACTGACTAGTTGAGTGAATGTGATGGACAGGAAACATTGCTACATAATAATTATTTCTTTTTAACACTCCCGATTTATTTGATTTTATCAGAGTATTGTTGTTGTTGTTATTGTTCGTGTTGTGTTATTTTTCGAAATTAAATTTTATCATATCTTCAGCATTCTAATGACGTGTTTTAAAATCGACACCTTTTTTTCTCTAGTTTTACGACACAAACCCAAACGAAAACCGCCGAAAAGAACAACAACAATAACAAACACTCAAGTAAAGGAGAGAAAAATTCAAATTTTCAAACAATAAAATAGACTCATAAAATTCCAACCAGCAATTTGTGGGTTCTTTATTTCGGCTGACAGTTGTACAAAAATGGGAAAAAAATTAAGGACCGAACAAAGAGCAACAGCGACCCAATTTCATGTTTAAAAGAACAAAGAATGAGAAAAAAAAGGAAAAAGGAACGTCATGTATTTTCGTTTGTGTACTCCATTCAAAGGAGGCGCTATGGATGTTGTTCGCAGCCTTTTTACATTGGTATAGGTGATGCCTTCATTCCGTTTTCTATTTTTTTCATCGGGGTTTTTTTGTCCGCCAAGTCCCTTCAGATCAAGTGATCTTAATTGATTTTGTATGTCATTAATTGGAAAATTGATGGTTTTTGTTCGCCGTTCGGTCGTTTGATTCGATGGCTGCTGCTGCACCAACAAACACCCCAAAAACGTTGATGTCAACTGTCTCATTGATGAATGAAAAGAAAAGAACATTTTTTTGTCGTTTCTTTTCGGCAATTAATGATCGACAATGGCACATGCTGATGGCACCGAATCGAAGAGTAGGTGGTTTCAATTCAAACGACAGCGGCGGAGGCAAACATTAAAATTTTGATTTTTTATTGTATTTTCTTAAATTATAACGAATAATGTTCTTCTTCATCGACTTCGTATCTTATCTTTGGGAAACCTTTCAAAAATTCATAAAGCCAACAAATGTAAATTATCAGATAATAACAATAAACTTTTTATGGATTTTAAGATTTATCAGAACAACCACAACATAGGCTACATTTTTTGGAATGTGAAAGAAACAACACATGTTTGTTGTACCGATGTTATTTTTATTGGATTTAGATTTGTGATGTTCCCATAAAATCATATTATTAAGAATGTGAGAATATTAAGATGAAAATGTCTATGACTGACATTGTTGGAGTTTTAGAAAAAAAATCAATATTAGAAGCGGGAATTGTGCCATTGTGGCAAAACTGGTCTCCGATCTATCAGTACCATGATAAATACGGATATCATATGTCAAACTATTAAGGGATACATTCCTCCCTTCGAAACCTTTAGTGTGTCTAATGAGTAAATAAAGTATCTCGTTATGTGTCGAATTATTGAGTTATACATTCCTCTCTTAAAAAATTTATACGCCTGCTCCTCATCTCATCTTAAAAAATGGTCTATTTTTTAAGATCATAAATATTAAAAATATCAAACTTAGAAACGAAGTACCAGAAAGAGTGGACCCATGTGCCCCATCTTTGGATTCGGTCTAGGCTAGAAAAAAAAAAATAATACGATGAGTAAAGTTTGGATGAAAAGTGGATACTCCGTTCTTTTCATATACGATTTATAAAGTTTCAAAAGTTTGACTCTTTGTGGGGGAGGTACTAGAAGGAGTGGACCGATAAGTCCCATTTCCCAACAATATACAGGTATGATTAAAGTTTTGGGATGTGCAAAGTTCGATTTGAATCAGATATCTGTTCGCATGATATAATAAAATTAATTTTCAGCAGGTAGAAGAGGAAGTGGTTTGATTTCCACCTATCTTGGAAATTTAGTTGAGTTTGAATAAAATATTATGATGTGCAAAGTTTGGATATTGGATTTAACAATATTAAATAAATCCATTATTATATGCATTCAAGGACTTTATTCAACATGCTTCGGAAATGTGATAATCGCTTGGTGCCAAGTCCGCGCTGTATGGCGTATGCCTTAAAACTTCTCAACCAAGCTCCCGAAGTTTCTAGCGAGTCACTGTAGATGTGTGTGGCCGAGCGTTGCCCTGGTGGAACACGACACCTCTCCTGCTGGCCAATTCTGGCCGTTAATTAGAGATCAGAATTTATCGTTTGGCCATATGGAAGCAGCTCATAATAAATAACCCCTTCCAGTCCCACCAAATGCATAGCATAACCGTTCCTGGCCGTTAGTCCTGCTTTGGCCACCGTTTGAGGTGCTTTACCGCACTTTGACCACGGCCTTTTTGCAGAGGGCTATCGTATGCGTGCATATCGTATCCACCATCCGTTTAAGGAATAGGTATATCTCATTCCGTTTGGCCAAGGCTTCGTAGATGGAAATTCGACCCATCCTATTTTTTCTGTTAATTGGAGTGGCACCAAAACATCGAGCTTCTTTTTCAATCCAGCTTTGTGTAAATGGTTTAAAACAGTTTTATGGTCGATTTTTAGCTCCTGGGCGATGTTACGACTGCTAAAATGCCGGTCAACATCGATCATTTCTCCGATTATCATTTTCGACGACCGGCCTTTTTTCCCAACCTAATATTTAAAATGTTGACCCTTTGTGGGAAGGTAACAGAAGGAGTGGATAAATAGATCCAAACTTCCGACATGATAGGCTAGGCTTGGTAAAGGTTTGCTAAGTTTGGTTTAAATCGATATTATAAAATGTGCAAAGTTCGGTGAAATCGTTTACTCCCTTCTAGAGTTATCATGCGCACCAGCTGGCCAGAAAGACGGACATTTGTAAATCGGCTCCAAATTGTCTTAAACGGATTTGGTCCAATGAAACATGGTTTAGACCCCATGTTTCAATATTTCTTGAGTCAATTTTTAGTCGTATCGAAGTGTATACTCTCATTAGCCATAGAGCTGAGGGTATTCTCGTAAGTAATTTCTCGTCGTTAGGTGTGAATTCTATTTTAAAAGCCAGAAGAACGCTACGAAATGCTTGACGAGTGTAAATGCAGACTCGATGGTAGAAAAAGTGATAATAATAATAATATTGTCGAGCTAACTAGAATGAAGAAGATATCTCTCACCCCAAGTCAAAGGAGACTGCAAGAGGGTCCCTATAGGTTATTACACCTTAAGGGTGAACAGCGAAGTCCTCATTGAAATGAGAATATCGTAGGGGGTTGGCAACAGAACACGGGCTCCAAATCAAGACAAATCTGGCAATGCAGATAATCCAACGTAAACAATTGGAAGAACGAGTAATGAGAAGAAGAAGACCAGCAATACAACAGCCCACAAGTTCGCCCCACAAATGTGTTTTCAAACACTTTGAAAATACCCAGTAACATTTTATTTTTATTTCGTTGTTAAACCATTTCAAAATTTTATTTCTCTATAGCCTCAACAAATTACAAGAAAAAAAGGTATTAAAAATAATTATAATAATTTGGCGCCATAAGAATGACCGATCAGAAAAAGAAATTCAGCTGTGACTTTAATATCGAAGCAAAGATTCCCAAAGGCTTGTACGAGAATTTCGTTGCCGTTCAAGCATCATTATTGGGATTACGAGGCTATATTGAAGCTACCGCTCAGGGTTTTCAAGGTAAATTGGAAAGTGAAAATAAGGAGTTGCTGGAGAAAATAAAACAAATCATGGAGACGACAAAGGATTTTATAGCTCTGATAACCAAGGCAATATTTTCGGAGATTAAAGAAATTGAAAATTTCACCGAAGAAACCTTTAAAATTAAGTGAAAGAATTTTTATCGTGAGCTAGTTAAAATAAAATTGAAAAGGAGCTGGAATTACAGATTGCATATCAAGTGGACAAATTACATAAAATAAAGTATTTAAGATATTTCTTGTCAAAATAACTATTAACAGCCTTGCATTTGTCAGGTGATTTCAATAAAGGAGCACCAAAAAGGTCGCAAATCCAAAAGTGAAGTAAGCATATGGTATTTTAATGCTACTGAAGGTTTTGGAATTTTAATTACAATTGTTAAATGACCTTCGTCGTCATTCGGTGTTTCTTTAGACAAAAGATGCGTTTGGCACGCTTGTAAGTAGAAAATGTTTTATTTAAATTATTCGCCTATTATATTCAAGGCCAGATTTCCACTAATATTTAAGACAGGAAATATTGATTAGAAATTCCCCCCTTACCTACAATACCCATTAAATTTCATTCCAATAAGGAAGGCATCCATTTCATTGAACAAGGAATGAAATCTCGACTGTCGACGTTGCATCTGTTACAGCCACCTCAGCATCTGAACATTTAAATCTTTTCAATTACAATGGTATTTCTTATTAATGATGCCCTCCGTATCTTTCTTGGAATTCTCTATCTCTCGTTAAATTGTCTTCCGATGACAAAATGTGTTTTTCTTTCTCTAACATTAGCAGCAGCATTACAAAAATAACAACAACATCAAAAATAACAATTTCCTGAATGGGGTAAATTGTTGCATTCCTAGAGGAAGTAAAACAGAACACAAAAGAGAGAGGGAGAGAGTGTGAGGGAGATAGTGATAGGCTAAGCAACAACAACCCCAACATAACAATCCATTCAATGTCATTTCTGGTGCTAGAAAAATGTGTCATTGAGAGTTCTCGGTTCCTTAGTTCATTGCGTTCTATCCTATCGATATTGGAATGAATGAATGGATGGTTGGATGAGTGAATTGAATAGGGTTTGGAATAGATGAATGTTTATTTATCATTCCGGTGCATAGGCTACGGCTACTTTATTGTCAAATGAGTTGTGAAATCCCGAAGGAGAAGTAAATAATCAGGCAAGAAAATATCCAGTAGTCGTATGCCTCTGCAATCTGGTATGATGACGATGATAACACCAAAAATGGTAACAACAACAACGAGAACACTAGTGCTAGTAACTAGAACTGAAAGCACCATCATCAACCATTATTGAGATAAATGTGAAGTAAGAAAAAAACAAGAAAGAAACAACAACAAAATCGAAAATATTTTTCTTCAGAGTCATTGTTATTGAGAAAATATCGAATGGAAAGATTTGTTTTGAATTTACGATGACCTTTGATTTTTAGTTAACAAACTGAAATATATAAATGAAAGGGAGGGGGCATATCTGTGTGTAATGAGGTACAGTGGGGCGAGGAGGATACTTTTTGGAAATATATTACAAGTGCGTAGCATAATCTATCTAAAGAAGATTATCTAAAAATATTCCATAAATCCATCCATTTGTAGCCATACATAAATTAATATACAGAACGCCTTTATGACGAAATCCAGACTTATGTATTGATTGAAGGCTCTTTATAGGTCGTCAATGGAGATTCTTATGAGATTTGTGATTATTAATGTTCGTAGACATAAGGTTTTCTGTGCAAGAATCCGGTAAACGTGGCAAATAATGATGAAAACATTCGTGTATCGATTTATCCGATTTATAAATATTGAAAATTCTGACCCTTTGTGGGGAAGGTACCACAAGGAGTGGGCCACACTTGATCTAGGCTTGGTTGAACTAGGTTGTGCAAAGTTTGGTTCAAATCGCACATTCCATTCGCCTGATATTGAATTTATAAATATTGCACATTTTGACCTTCGTGGGGGAGGTACCAGAAAGGGTGAACCAATGGGTTCCATTTTCGGACATGATCTAGGCTTGGTAAAGATAAAGATTGGTTTCATTTGCTAGATATTGGATTTATAAATATTGAAAATTTTGAAGGAGTGAATCAATAAGTCCGAATTATAAGTCGGAATTCATCTGCGCTTCATAAAGGTAATATGTTGTACAAAGTTTGGTTCAAATCGGTTAGACCGTACGCATGATATTATAATATGATATTATATATGTCTTTGTGCATATGTTTGTAACAGTCAAAAGGAAACGAGATGGTTCCTTTTGAGAATATGCATAGAAATTGGAAAATTCACCGAATCACTTTCTAAGTCGATTTATGCATGTCCATCCGTCTGTCTGCCCATATTATTTTGTAAACAGAGTACAAGTCGCATTTATAATCGGAATTGGAAGAAATTTGGCACAGCTCATTTATTTGGCCCAAGGACGAAACATTTTGAATTTGGAAAAATAGTTATAGCTCCCATATATATTTTCGTCCGATTTAATGTAAATGGTGTACCAAAGTGCCTATATATTTTTCAATTTGCTCGAAATTCGGCATAGCGTACTGAATTAAGTCTAGAATAATGTGTATTAAGTTTCGAGAAAATCGGTTCAGATTTGGATACAGCACACATATATATTTTCGTCCGATTTTTTATATTTCGATTTGTACGAAATTCGGCATAGCGTACAAAATTAAGTTTCGAGATAATCGGTTCAGATGTGGATATAGCTCCCATATATATATTCGTCCAATTTTTTGTATATGGTGCACCAAATTCCCTATATATCTTTCGATTTGCACAAAATTTGACATAGCGCACTGAATTGAGTCTAGAATGATGTGTGCTAAGTTTCGTAAAAAATCGGTTCAGATTTATATATAGCTCCCATATATATTTTCGTTAGATTTTAGGAAAATGGTGCACCGAGTGACACGAAATTTTGCTCATCGTATCATATTGGGACTAGAATGACGTTATTGCGTTTTGTTGAAATTGGTGCAGATGCAGCCACAGCTTCTATATATATTTCAAACGAGTGCGCTAGAATAAATTTTAATAGGTTGCATAAAGTTTGTATCAATTTGGCTCATAGTCTGATCACATGGTATTATACTCTCCTTATTGGTTTTAGCACAATTTTTGTCAATTTTCTGGGGGAGATACCAGAAGGAGTGCACCGATATTTCCCATCTTCGAACTTGAACTAAGTTTTGTAGAATTATTACGATGTGCAAAGTTTGGATGAAATCGGTTACTCCCTTCGAGCCAGACAGACAGTCGGACTTCCATTTGTAAATCGACTCAAAATTGTCTGAAACGTATTTGCTCCAATGAAACATGGGATAAGGCACAAAGTGTATATATGATTCAAAATACGTCACAGGTGATGAATCATGGAGTTATGAGGCCGAAATATAGTTTTCGGTGAAATTTGACACCTATCTCAATCTAGCCAATTTTTGATCTGTCATGTAGAGGAGTCAATATTTCATCCACCGTACACATCTGATTTGGCACACAATGACATCGATTTACCCATATGATCGCGAAAATTGCAAGTAAAAATCCCGAAAATGGAGATATAGCCGATTTATTGTACCAGCATCATGCAATGAATGCAATGTCAAATACAAAATTAGATAAACTATGGTTGGAAAACTAGGCTAGGAAATTTAATATTTTATTCTGATCAATAATAAATATACTTTATGAGGTCTCCGAATCTTAAAAGTGTTGCTAACGGAATGACAAATTCAGGATATAATAATATGCTGTTATAATTATATTATAACATTTAATTATTTATTTTATTATGTTTTATAATTTTCTTTCCAATTTTTTCGTAGAGTTCCTTGTTATTTTTACATTGTCATCCATTGTGTTCCACTGTGCACCAATAAATTGTAGGGCTTCTTAAAATAAATTTTCCAAAAACAAATCAATGATAAATTTAGCTGCCTTTGATAATAACAAACAAAAAAGGGGAACTAGGAACAAGGAAAAAAGGATGCTGATGTCACATTTCCAAAAACACACACAAGAAGTCAGGAAGTAGACAATCTAATAATGTTTTGTTTCTGTAGGCATTGTTGTTGTTGCTGCCGATGCTGGTTCATACGCGGCAGCTTCTGTTGTTTTTTGTTATCGATATTTTATGGCATTTTGAGACAAATCACCTGGAGGCAGTAAAGTGCGTGTGTTTTCATCAATTCCGGCCATAATTTGTCAGTGAATGTCTGTCTGTATGTCTGTGTATGTAAAAAAGGAAGAAGAATGAATGGATGGAGAAAAAGTGCATGTAATCTCACACCACACCCGGCGACCGAATAACCGACAGACAGGCTGAGAGACTTGTGAATACGTGTTACTTTCACACTTTGGGGTATTTTGAAAACAAAGCCATACAAACAACTGCACATACACATATACATGACAAAAAAAAAAAACAAGAATCAATTAGATATATGGCCAGCAAAAAGAAAACAGTAGGCAATTTCCATGGAGTTGTTGTCTGATATGATTGTGCACGACACACTGAGAAAAGTTAAAAAAAAAGTTGAAGGAAGAGTCAAAAACTCCTTTAAATTTTTCTTTTGAACATTTTAAATTTTTTGGATGGCAATTTGGGTATGATTAGTGTCTTCGCCAATATTTTTAAATTGAGTGTGTATAATTTGGCACCTTATTGTCCAAGAGTGTAAAGTACCCTTCAGAAAGAATTTTTCTAATGGCATTGCCTCCCATATAAATGTCCAGACTAATTTTGGGAAGTTAGAATGTCCACCTCCTGGTAAAAAAGTATTAAAAATTTTACCCTGCCAAACTTAACGAAGTTCTCATTTTCTCTCACTGCAATAACTTAAAAATGCACAAAGCCTTGGACATACCAAACTCAACAAAAAGTAAAGAAGAAATATTGTAATGAAAAATAATTGTTTTCCTACTTTTCGTTGTCACACAAAACGCAGAGAAAAAAACGGTTATGAAAATAAAATAAGAAGACAAATCGAGAAAAAGAAAAAAAACAACAATCTCAAGAGACAACATTAGACCCCTTTGTGGACAACGGGGTAGACGACAAGAATACAGACGTGAGATTTTGACTGACATGTACAACATACCAACTAGCTAGG